TGTTGTGAGGAGAGACCGGTCCTTAGAGAGGGATATCATGCTTGGGAGGGTGGAGGGACGGCGCAGGAGAGGAAGGCCCTCTATGAGGTGGATTGATTCAGTGACTGGGTTAATTGGGAGGGGAGTGTCGGAGACAGTGTGATTAGCACAGGACAGAGCGGAGTTTATGGCTGTTGTACATAGGGTCTCTATGAGTCGCAGGTGACTCAACGGCACATAACAACAACAACAACAAAGTGACAAAGGTATATTAAAAATGCAAAAATGTTGTGGATTTGTATCCTGCCATAGAGTACAATAATATATTTAAAAAGAATTATTTTTGTAATTGCTCACTTACTTACTGACCCATATACTATATCTTCCAACTGCAATTTGGACAATTTTAACAAACTGGAAAATTTCCAGGTTAATAAAAAGTGTAAGAACACACACACATACACATGCACAAGGTACCAACAAATCACTATGTATATTTTGGATATGTGAGACGTAATGACTGGGGGAACCTGGAGAAAGGTAACACAGATATCTTTGCAATGTCTTGTGATTCGTAAACTATTTAAATTTTTTTCATTTTTAAGGCTAATTAGGAATGTGTTCATATAACATGAATTTAAAAATTGTGCGCACTGCATTATCTTTAATGATTTTCATAGCAAAATATATTTTTTCATATTGCTTACAGTATCATGTCTGTCACGCTCAGAGTTAAGATTTGGGTAAGTAGCACAAGTATAAACAATTTTTTTTTGCTTCTTAACAATGAAGCAAATCAAATATTGGAACCATGTGCAAATGCAAGATTTGCTGTGAATTTTTATTAGAAGAAGGTTGATGAATTTATGCCAGCTTCACCATAAATTCAGAGTTCTTGCTGGATAGAAATTAAAGGACCTTTAGAATAAAACACAAGAAAACAGATTCTCCAATGTAACCATGAAAAAACCCATTTTATGTCCCAATTTTATTCACCTTTTCTTAATACAACATTAATCTACTGAGGGTAATCTAGTTAGTATATTTGAAGTTCCATCTATTTTTTCTATTGATATGCATTTATTACACTTGTATATAATACAGAATTTTTCAGTGTTATTTTAAAGGATAGATTTAAAAATGAGAAACATGATCTAGAACTTAAAACAAACCAAGAATAAATTTATATTTCTCAAAATAATACAGATTTCTATTTAGTTTGAAAAAAATTAATGCTCTTTTAATTCACGTAGACTGTCCAACACAACTTATTTTTCTTTTTTTATTATTTCATACAATCGGAAAACATTTTAAAATAGATTTGGGCCATCTAATTAGTTTTATACATAATTAAAATGGAGGTAAAAAAGTCATTTCATTCCTTGGACTGATGGAGTAACACACTTTAGTTCAATCTCAAAAGTATATTCTTCAAGTTTCATTTTTTAACAAATTTTACACTTTCCATTTTTTTTAACCAGTAAACAAGTCTGAGTAATGACCTTCATGGCCACAGTATGAGAACAAAGCTCTCCAGGAAATATAGGTCTCCAAGTTGGAAATGTTCTACCTAATTGGCCATGTCAATATGTTTAAAATACAACAGATTTCCACATATTCTCTACCATGATGGGAGTTCTAAAAGAACTGTATCTAAAGCATTTTCCTACTAATCTAGGATGAGTGAAACAGAAATCCTTCCCTTAATTCCTTACAACTACAGTTTTCTGCACTATTATTACACAATAGCTATGCAATTTCCATCCTTCCTTCTCTTCACATCACCAGTGAAACAAAAGAATTATAAAATTATACATTCTGTAATAACTTGGGAAAAAGACATACATGTTTAAGGCCTTTAAATATTCATAAAACTTTCTTGTACAACTTAAAAGGTACAAATAATAAAATGGCTACAAAAATGTGAACAAAATACAGCAGCTCCCAGATTTCAAATGAATTCCATTCCTAAAACTGTAAGTTGAATTTAATACATGAGTTGGAATATTTGTGTTTGATTTAATTAATGTCAGTTAACCAACCATTTGTCTTAATAGATAGTATACAGTGTACTTTTCTATGTATTAAAACATTATGGAAACACTTCCAGGTACAGGAAAGCAACTTTAACATAGTAATACAGTAAAATTAAGAGTGTTTTGATGTACATAGGAAAGTAGAATGCATATATTATTGTGAACTATTTATGGACCTCAAATTTTTTATGTAATCAGCTCTATGGCAGCTGGTTTGTAACTGAGAATCTATGTAAGCCAGATAGTCATAACTCAGGGACTGCCTGTGTTGGCCTAAGAAATTGTGAAAGGTGACAACTATAAACAAATACTGTATACGTTTGAAGCCAAGGAAAATGAACAAGTTATTCTAACAACAGACTTAACAAATAAATAAGCATCCAAATAGTCATTGGGAACAAGCAAAGTACAGCATTTTCAAATGAGACATAAAGAAAGAATTAGAAAGACAAACAAAAAAATTATGAGATATCTAAATTAATAACCCCAAAGCCAAGAAAACAGAAACTCACATGCACCCCTGGAAAATTTGAAAAATGAAGGCAATCTAATTAATAGCTGGACTGCTCACTGATAATTTCTGTGAAGTGAAAACTTTAACATTTAAAAAAATGAAAGTAAAATGACACTTCAAAGAAAAAAACCCAACAATCTGAAAGGGAAAACTCTAAATGAACAAAAGAGTATATAATGAAAATGATAATCCAGTTCTAACTACTACTTATTTAACTGACAAAGAGTTGCAGTAGTGTGTTAGCCTTGGGGAAACATGTCAGTTTGTCTACACATTTGTATATGATTGATGTATTCAGATAACTATCACTTGCCAACAATAATTAGTAGTAATGGATATATATTCCCATTCCTTTAACAAAAGCAATTTCAAGATGTTAAAACATGTAGGCTTTCAGAGCTCCAAGATTAAGATACAAATAAAATTGTCTCAGTCTATGCCATGCCAAAGGAGAAGATCCACAAAGGAAATGTCACTAAAGCCATGTACAGTCCCATTAGCCAGTAAACACAGGACCCAGGAACACATCCATGCCAGAAGGTCTGTGTCAGAGTGAAACTGCTTTCAACAAAAAGAAAAGGAGTCACATCTGATGCCAAGAGCCCAAAAAGTAGCTGTCTCTGACATCACCCACAATCACGAACTGTTCACCAACTCTTCTGATGTCACTTTCAAAGTCCTTCAACAGGTACAATTTTACACGTTGAAAACAGTTCAGATATGACAAAGTCTTCATGACTTAGAAGTCCATGTCTGATGTTTTCAGTCTTGATTAGAAGAGGCTAATTGCAAACCATGAAATCTCTTGCATAACAGACTCCAGAGTGTCGTTCTGAATGATATAAAAATCTTCCTTCAAGTTCACCTCAGGAGTTAAGTTTCTATGCAAATGTTCAATGCAACCCACCTTGAGGATCACTTGACTTATCCTTGGTTAATGGGTTACCTACAAAAGAAGAAAAATATAATCAATGTGATATAACAAGGAAATAATTGTAGAACTAAACACAATTTAGAGCGAGTTCTGAGACCTAATGGTAAGGAGCTGCAGTGCTAACCCAAAGGTACATGGGTCAAATCTACCAGTTGTTCAATGGAAGAACAACAGACAATCTCCTCTCATGTGATTTGCTTCTTCTGAAAACCCCCTGGAGGGTCAACTATGAGGTGGTTCTGCCTCAATGGCACACAACAACAACAAGCACAACTTAATACTAGAAATTAGCAAGTACCTCAATATTCTAGTACCTTCTTTCAAATAATTTGCTATAAAGGATTGTGGTAGTCAGGTGTGTCCATCATAGAAAAATATATCTGTTTTCCCACTTTATACTTTGGCAATATTTTTGGAGCTAAAGTGAGATGGACACTTTCACAATTATTTCAATGACTTTAACTGTAAATAGGATGATATCATCTGGTGATTTGAGCTCTCAAAGATCCATAACATGATTCTAGAATTCCTGTTCTTTATGCTGGTTTGGTGGAAATACTCAAGAACCATAAACAGTCCATCTCAATTCCCAGTGAAGAAAGATCTTAATTCACAGAATACAATCAGAGCATATTCTGCAAAAAGCCCTTGGGAGTTCCTGCTTTACAATTAATCTTGAAATAACTTAAAGTTGAGTGCTTATTTATCTTAATTATCTTTCAGAAAAATCAATTATTCATGAAGGCAAAAATTTGGAAGGGGAAAATAATTTATGATAGTACAATGTTTTTACCAAATGTTAAAAGTGCCCCCAAACTGTCATAAATTTGATAAGGGCAGTATTATTAATGTTACTACAAATGTTACTGTGTAATAATAGTCACACTGACTCTTCAAACCTAATAAATTAGTGCACAAGAAAAAAGATTACACTAGATAAATATTGCATCTGATCAATATACCATAATTCAGAGAGACAGATAGACATGTTTCTATTGGTGGCTTAGAGGTGAGGAGTTGCGCTGTTAACTCAAAAGCATCAGTTCGAATCCACCAGCTGCTCTGTGGGATAAAGATGAGCAGTCTCTTCCTGTGTGATTTACTTCCTCTGAAAATTAGCTGCAGGGTCATCTATGAATCCATTCTGACTCAATGGTACACAAAACTAAGCATAGTACTTAGAGAGTGTTAGCTATCAATGCATTTACAGCATGGACTTACAACAAAAAGTCTTTTAAAAAATCATATGGGTATTTTGGTTTTTTAAAAAAAATTTTAACTTAGTTTGTTTATTTTTCATTTCAATGAACATCTACAGAGATTTTGGAATTCCATTC